CTAGGTTATTGATTGCAGCTAGAATTGTTGATTGGGAGTTACTTGTGAGAAGGGGTTTAATGTTGTTGACTGACAGTGTTTTTGAATTGTAGTTGGAGGCTTTGACCATTTGTACATAAGTTGGTTGATTGTTGCGGAGGAGTATTTTATGAATATTTGCTGTGCCAGCAGGTTTATATCTCTGATATAGGGTTCCAAAGGACTTGGCTTGTTGTTGCATTGTGAATTTTCTTTGAATTGCTTTCTGTTTAATTGACAATCCATTGCTGAGTATTTAGGATTTAAGCAGATAGGACAAATTTTGTCAGTGAGCTCGAACCATGCTAGTTGTATATTACCAAGAGTGGGGGGTGGTTTGTTTTGTATTTTCTTTATCTTCATAGTTTTTGAAACTAAGAATGGCAAATCTTCTTCTCAATTAATTGCGATTGTGAAGGATATAGCAAGTTTTGGCCCCTGTGTTTTTGATGATCTCTTTGAGATCATAACCTGTTGTTTCTGGTGGGAGATTGGTTAGTTTTACTGTGTGCTGATCACATTATTGTTTAATTTCATTGGTTCTTAGAAATGGAAAGATCCTAATTAGATCTGCCTTAAAAGAAATAGACCAGCGTTGTATGATTTCATTGTAGTTTTCTTTATTGGCAAACTCAATGATGGCAGATTGCCATATGCCTTCTGTGTAAAGTTTCACATTGTTGATTTTTCCATATTTAAAGAAGACTGTATGCACTTCAGATATTGTAGTACTCAGGGGATGTCCTATGCACATATTATTCTTGATTTGATTTCATTGGTGTTGGTCAGCTCTGCGGCTGTGAGGTGAATTGTGATATCATTATGTAGTATAATATTAGCTGCCTTTTCTGCTTCTTTTGCAGAACCAAAAAAAGGCAATTGTAATGGAGATGTTTTTTTCTATGCTGTGTTTGAGAGAAGTGAGAGATTCAAATTGTTCAAGTCCTACTAAAAGAGTATTCATTTTTTCTTCAGAGTTTTTATTCAGAATAGTATCTAAATTGATGATTCTCTTGTAACGATTTTTTTTTTATTTCTTAATATAGAAATGAAATTTTTAATAATAAGGGACATTTGAATTATGTCCTCATAAATAATTTGGGGATTCATCTTTACTGTGAAGCATTAACTACTATGCTATAGATCCACAGGTCTCCTATAAAAATTATATGTATTATTATAATAAAAAGAATATAATAATAAATATAATTGAATTTTGAAGTTTTTTATTACAAAAGCTATACTAATAAAACAATTATAAGATAGAATTTTTCTAAACCATATAATAAGCAAAATCAAATAACTTCTTTTTTTTTTAGTTGATATCTTGATAAATATTTTTGTTTATGAGAAAGTTATAAATTTATATATTATATTGTTTACTAATAAAGATTTTATTTTTTTCAAATAAAAAATTTTTAATCCTTCTTTACTTGCTAAAATTATATTGAAGTATTGAAAAAGATTCTATATATGATTTGATAAGTTTGTTAATTTTTTTTTGGAGTTTGTTAAGTAAAATTCTATAGAAATATAATATTAGAAAAAATATTTAAACTTTTTAAAAATTATATATTTGATAATTTTTTGTACAATTTTTTTTTTTATTTTCAATAAATAAGTTTTTTTAGAATTAGAAGAAAATACTAGATCACTTGCTTACATATAAAGAAGTTCAAAAAAAAAGAAACAAAATTTGAACAGGTATCATTAATAAGACAATCTTATCTTGGATTTCAAAAAATATAATAAAAAATAATAAAAATAGAAAATAGAATCCAGTACCAATCATCGAACTAATGGATGAATAGAGAAGAAACAAACTGTCATTAGCAAAAAAAATCACTAACCTTAATATAGGATTATGGACATAGGCAGATGTAATAGAATGGGCAAAGATCTTATAGTTGATCCAAATTCACAAAATAGCAGCACACAAGATCCTAAACAAAATATTCCAAACTGGTGTAAACAGCTTCATCAACAAATTTGAAATGTAAGATGTGAAAGGTTTCATAATCATAACAGACTTCAAGACAAGAAAAAAGGTAAAGTAAGAGAGATGAAACAAAAAATACAAAAAGATTTAGTCAAGCCAGGCTCTAGCTTTAAACCATGAAAGAAGAAAAAAGAAACAAATTAGGTTTCAAGAAGCATAGACATAATTAAAGATAAAAGTAAAGAGAAGAAGGCTAGAATTAGTAAAGAAAAATAAAAAAAATATCAATGGTGTCACGAGCGAACATGTTGATCAGCAACAAGACTTCAGCAAGTTTCCTTATAAAAGTCATATAGAATAAGATTAAAAAAGATATCAAATAGTTGGGAATATAAAATAATCAAGATCTTGCCAAGGTAAACTGTGATAATAAACTATAGGCAATAAATTTAACTTTCTTAAGAATAGAAAAGAAAAGAATGCAATTTTATTTATCTTCAAGATTATATCTAGAGATTATAAATTAGTAATAGATATTCAAGTATTAAACTAGTTTATGCATAAAAGTATTATACATTTATGTTTTCACTTCCAATAATTAAATAAATATCTTAAATACTTGTTTGATTATGAAAAAAAAAATAAAATAATATAATATAATTTGAAAATTTGAAAATTAATATAAAATATAATTTGATAAATAAAAATTCGATGATAAAAAATAATCTTATTATAACTTTTTTTATTTTTTTAAAAAAATCAATTTTATTTAAATAGAATAATAAAAAGTATATTTATTTAAAATCTTTTCAACGATAATATACGTTATATACTGTACGTGTAATTTATGTTTATTCTATTATAAAAAGCATATTTTTTAATAAACAAAGGATTCGTATAATACTTTCCTTAAAAAAGTAACGTACAGAAAATATGCATAAAAAAAAAAAAGAACGTAATAAGACTCATGATCAACGATATACCATAAAGAGTATTCTACAATAATGAAACCGGATTTGGGCTGCAGACTGGTTTTTTTTAATATTACCAATTATAGGTAAAAGATTTTTTTTTTGTTTATGAAATGATGATTGATATCTTCAATATCTTTTCTTCGAGATATGACGGATATTTTGGTAACCTCTCGTTCGGTCCACTCACTTTTGCGAACATTTCCTTCAATTGCTGTGAAGAGGAACATCAAAAGTTTTCGGTGAGACGTGTTCCGTTTTTACAAATCATTCAAATCTTTATTTATTAATTAATTAATTGATTTTTTTTTTGCATAAATAGTCCGAAATTTTTATGTCAAAGATACGCTCCGCAACTTAGTACCGATGCTTCGATTAAACAAAAAACATTTTCAAATCAAAAGAATATTCCACGCTTACCCATTCCAACTCTCCAGGAAACTAGCGAACGTTATAAAAAGACGTTGATTCCATTGTTATCAACTCAAGATTATAATAGAGCTGCAGCTGCTGTAGATGAATTTATGAAAAGTGGAGGTCTGGCTGAAATTCTGCAGGCAAGACTTCATGAACTTGATAAAATTGAGCCGGTACGAAAAAATTTCGCATTAATATAACACGATTATAAAGTTTGATTCTGTGAATCAGTTCCCAAATTTAATTAACGTATATATGTAGAATAATTGGATCGAAACCATTTGGTT